CTCGTCAGATTGGATGAGACTAGGACCACGAATCACTTCCCCTTCATCCTAATGTTTGGATTCGAGCATGGGAGGCTCGAATCTACCTCGATTTCGCAAGAAACCACAAGCCCAATTTTGGGCTGACAAGCTCAGGTTTTTCTCAGGTCATTATCATGCCAAGTCAGTATTTAACAGAAAAATTAACAAAAAATGTGACGGAGGTATGACATTGCAACAAATTCATAGATAAGGTATGCCATTGCAATGTTTAAAATATAAGGTATGAGATTGCTATGCGACTCATAGCTGAAGTAGTATTTTGTAATTTACCCAATAATTTTCAATTATTTTATTGTGTGAGTCCCATCAATGCATAAATTATATATCTTGAAATTTATTTTAATTGATTTATCTTTAAAATTGGTCTTACAGATACCATTTATAACAAAAAAAACATATCGGTTGGAAAAAGAAAAAAGTCTGATATTGTCATGTAAGCCATTAAATTAATATTTGACATTTATCTTTTGACATCTCCTTTGGAGATGCTCTAAGCTTTGGGTTCATAGAGAAAAACTTCTTTTTTACAAAAATGATAAGCACACTCTTTTTTAGCTTTTTACTCATCTTATTTAATCATAGTAGCTATTTTTACTTGATTTATTCAATCTAATGGTTAAAAATAAATAAAACCAATGAGAAAACAAGTTCATTTTTTTTTTAATACTCCAATGCAAAATTTTAAGGACAAGAGTATAACGGAATCATGAAAAAAAATAAAATTGAGATAATTATATTATAAACACCGAACTTCTTTGTAAGTTTCTACATTGAAATTGAACAAAAATAACCATAGTTTAAAATTGTAGCTATGAAAATTGTCTTTCAAGATAAATTCCTCATCTATTCCATATATCATGCAAAATGATGAACTAACTAAGGAAGGCTAGTTGGTATAAGGCTTTGCTTTCATAATAGTACTATTGTAAAACCTTTTTTTTTTTTTTTTGGTCAGTTAAAGAAATATAATAAAGCTAGCTGAGAGCAAAAACACATAAATCAAAGAATGCAGAGTATCAAATAGAAGCTACAAAGTGAAGAAACTTCAAGATAAGCCCGTTCCTCAAGTGGCTTCGTCATTGTATGTGAGTTGAGAGACCAAAGGGGTATGGGAAAATTATCTGCATAGTCACAATGGCTAAAATAGTCAACAAAAATAAAAAAAGTTTTGTTCCATCAAATGAGTCGGCTATATAAATCACCAATTTATAATTATATTTTCAAAATTTGATAGATGTTATTTATACTTTGAATATGTCGTCCATATTTTAAGTTGTATCAATTCAACAATTGGTGTCGCTTTCTGTTCATTTTAGTTCATTCTAGTTAAATTATTAAAGCATTACCGTAGGTGATAGACTAATTGAATAGGGATTCAACACGAAAAAGTATCACAAGATCAAAAGTCAAGGGACATGACAACTTTGTCATTTAGTACTACAATTTAGTGATACTACTCTTTACTCTTTAGTTGGATGTAAGAGCTCTTCGATTCGATTATCGTCAAAGAAAAATTCAAACCAAATTATTATAAGGGTTAACCAACTTATCCACCTCTTAATATATATATATAGAGAGAGAGAGAGAGAGAGAGAGAGAGAGAGAGAGAGAGAGAGAGAGAGAGAGAAATGCTAAGGAGATTTTCTTAAAATAAGACTATCCATAAACTCTCTATCATCTTATATTATTTACACAATTCTCGTGCCAATATTATAAAATATTATACAAAAAATATAAAATAGCGAAAAATCTTACTTTTGAAAGAGTATTCTTTACGTTTCTCATATAAAATAGGCATATATCAACCTTACGCTAACCCTCAACCAAGGGCAGATGTACAGTTGGCCTTTGATTGGGATGTAGCCCAATATTGTGTTCATACATCTGATTGTCACGGAAAGTAAATAAGTTAATAAAGACTTATAAGAAATTATACTACGAAACCTAATTTTAAAAAGGAATAACTTTTTCTTAATTGAAAATTATTCCAACCATGTCTAAACAAAGCAACCCACTCATTGTCTCATCCTATCGTTCTAATCTTCAAAATAGGATCCTCTCCTAAGCATAGGATGGGGATCCTCCTGACCACGAAATCCGAACCGTTCAATTTTAATTCAACAGTTGCAATTATTATAACTTTTTAGGGGATCCCCTGTTTAAAACCGTTAGATTAAAATTGAACGGCCTGGATTTCGTGGTCAGAAGGATCCTCATTCTGAGCTTAGGAGAGGATCCTCTTCCCTAATCTTCAGCCACCATAACAGTACAATTCAACAAAATCATTTTTAGAAAAATGCTCCAATCTGTCACTACTATAATTCAGAGTGAACGAAAAATTTACTAGCTAAACCAATAAAATTAAAAAGAAAATTGTTAGAAATCCTGATCCTAATACGTAAATAACTTGCTCTAATAGTTGTGTTAGAATTCAACATAAAATCAATTGACGGCAAACAAAGATGATTTAAACTATTTATCCTTGATGGAACCAACCGTGGTGTTGGTTAAAAACAGAGCTGCATTCTATTTTTCTGCAGCTACAGTCTAATGCTAAAAGGCTACTCGTACTACATATAATATTATGTAGAGCTTCAAATCAATTGGATTTTGCATACCAATGCCATCTACATAGACTTGTCTGTCGTGTATTGTCTAACATTTTTCTTGCTTCAAAATGTTTCTCTTTCTAGAGTAGGAGACCTAAGCTTGTCGCTATGTTTTGCCCTATAATGAAAATAACTTATATAAAACAAATTCACCATTACGTAGTGTTTTAATTTAATAAAATATTATTATATAAAGAAAAACATACACATAATAATGCATTATTAAACAAAAAATGCTACGTGACAATAAATCTGTTTCATGTAAGTCATTATCCCCCCAATAGGACTTTGGTTTACCTTCATGAGGGGAAAAGAGATGCAAACCAGCTACATCCCACTATCCTATGTGGTTTCTTTGTCTCCGTATATAAAAAGTTCCGTGACCGTGAAATCTTTAGTCAATAATTGAATTATCAAAAGATAATGGCTTAAAGTTCTACTATATAAAATATGTCGGAATATACCTTCTTTTCCTTCCTCTCCTTTGCTCCCTCTCCTCTTTTCCAACTCATAATCATGAATTAGATATCAGAGTGTTGAACATACCTTCTTCGAATCTTTTTTGGTGTGGGTGTTATTTTAAATTTGGGGTGCTGTCTTCCCTTGAGGATGAGTGGTGGCGGTGGTCGTTTGGGTTCTACTGCTTGAGTTTAGAGTTTCTTTTATTGTTTGTTTTTGTTGCCTACGGCCTAAGTTTGTGTGGGCTACATTGTATCTTATGTTGTAGCTCTTCTTCGATTAGGGTTTTATGTTTTGTTTTAACTTAGTTCATCTATCACAAATTGTAATTTTTCCAGATCTTTAGTGAAGTTTACTTTCTGACAAGACAGAGGAGGGAAATATATGCATTGAAGGTGAAGGACAAGTATACCTAGGATTCTGTGTTATGTGTGATTTCTGATGAGGAAATTAAAATCTAGACAACGATCCAACCAAACATAGAGGTGGATTGTCTGCCTTCCCATTTTTATACTCTCCTCATGCCCTTCTATGATGTGTGGTCATGATTAAGCCACGTCAATATTTTATATTAATTTTTTTATAGAAATAATAAAACAAAAAGTAATAAGAATATAAAATGTTGACGTAATTTAACGATGACCACACAAACATGAGAGCTTGGAGAGAGTATGAAAATAGGAGGGCAGACAATCTACCTCCACCAAACATTTCTACACCAACTCAAAGTCTAAAAACATCCATATAAATCAAAATTCAAAGGACTTAACAGTAGCAGGTGAAACAAACCTATCACTCCCTGAATTACAAGTTAGTAACTTCTCTACCCACCATTCCGTATTTACATTTTGTTGAAGGGGTCTCATTTCTACCAAAAACTATTCAATAGAACCAAATCGAACACCGAATAAGCTCAACTCGATTAGTTCAAACTATTAAATTATGTACGTGCAAACTTTATATATATATGATCGGTTGAGTATTCGATTCTTCGTAACTTACAAACTAAACAACCAAAATCTGCTAATTTAACATCTGATATACGATCTTTTCAATTATATATTGAACATCAATTTCCAAAGATGTTAAGGTTTTAATTTATTGGTCATTTTATCATATTATTATTATGATTATTAAAAGGAACTGTTATTAGCATTTCAAAAATCTTATTCAACACTTCTCACAAGTGTATTTTTCTATCTAATTATAGAAAGTTTAAAATCCGAAATGAGATTTTTGAAATACCAATAACAATTTTTTTTATTAAAACTCAAGAGAACTTTATTTAGTTACCATATTACTCTTACTAACATGAAGAGTTATAAAACAACTTCAATCTTACCATTTATTTGTATCATTTCTCTAATATAGATGAGATCCACATATATTTATAAACCCTATATTTATCAGAGAAATAATACAAATAGATGATAAGTATCTGTGTCTTCATAGCTTACCTAATGCAGAGTGTTTGAGAAAAGACATTGAAAAGTACCAGCACCTCGACACCAATCCAATGAGTAGGATTTTCTTCTCTCTTTTTTCCCTCATGTTTCATTCCTTCCTATTTGAACGGTCACAGTTAAATCATGTCATCATCTTATATTAATTTTTACAAAAACAGAAGACAAAATAAAGAATATAAAAGAATAAGATGAAAAGAATGGAAAGAGAAAAGAAGAGAATCTTAATTATAATCTCACCCCACAAAAATCAAACATTTAGAATTACACGTTCGTAACCTCTCTATGCCCAACCCTCTCTATTCTTCTTTTATTTTTGGGTCTTATTTCTCAATTTTTTTTCTAGCAAAAAGAAGTCCATATTCCAACACAAAAAGTTAATCAACATTCCATGATTTTTATCCATGACAGGTCACATTCTTTGGCGGTTGGCACTATTCTTTAGAAAGCTGCAGACTTTGGACATTTCTCTCTCTCTAAGTTGCCAAAGCTTCTCCACACACTTGCTAAAATTCCAAATCTGTCTGCCACAAACATGAAGATAACAAAACTCAAAGATTCCTCAATATTTCTCTGGTTTTCTTTCTTCTGTTTGCTGCTGTCTCCTTCCACTTCCTTTGCCAGAACCACGCTTCCTGCTAGGTTTCCATCTTCTCTCGTTTCCCCTGAAAAGCTCTCATCACTTTCTTCTTCTGGAAAAAACCAAATTTACAGAACCAGATACTTCACCCAAATACTTGACCATTTCAATTTCTACCCCAAAAGCTACCAAACCTTCCAACAAAGGTATTTGATCAACGACACGCATTGGGGAGGAGCCAAGAGCAATGCTCCGATCTTTGTTTACACAGGAAATGAAGGAAATATAGACTGGTTTGCACAAAACACTGGCTTTTTGTATGAGACAGCTCCCCACTTCAAAGCCCTCATCGTTTTCATTGAGGTAGGATTTTGTTTCCAAATTTAGATTTTAAAGAGATAATCCTCTTTTAAATTCAGTTGGTTAAGATCGTTTGTCTCCTTGTATCTGAAGTCCAAAATTTGATATATTTATCCTATGTATTGGAAAATAAAAGAAGATATAAGACTCATTTTCTAGATATCTAATATATTTTGTTGTCAGACTATAAAGACAGTTACTTTAATCAATATTTTTGAATAAGAATTTAATCACATAGCAAGTCATATCGTCTGACAAGATAACATATTTTAGTTTTTGGATATAATTTGAGATGACCACATTGCATTGCAGCATAGATTCTATGGGAAGTCTATACCCTATGGGGGAAACAAGGAGGTAGCTTATGGTAATGCAACCACACTTGGATATTTGAGTTCAACACAGGCACTGGCAGATTATGCTTCCTTAATCATTGATTTGAAGAAAAATTTATCAGCAACTGACTCTCCTGTGGTGGTCTTCGGAGGTTCCTATGGAGGAAGTATGTCAATAATTAAATAATCCTTTTTTCCTAATATGTATGATTTGCAGTTGATTAAACAGCTGGCATGGGATTAGGGAGTTAATAGTGGGATTTGGATCCTCTCCTGAGCTAATAGAGAGGATCCTCCTGACCCATCATCATGGGTCGTTGGATTTTTATCCAACGGTTATAATTATTATAACTTTAAAAAAATCATTTTGTTTGTAGCCGTTGGATATTTATTCAACATGCCCACGATGATGGATCAGGAGGATCCTCTCCATTAGATCAGGAGAGGATCCAAATCCTTAATAGTGAGCGTCAAATTTAATCAAAGTTGTTAATTAAAAATGCAGTGCTGGCAGCATGGTTTAGGTTGAAGTATCCGCACGTTACAATTGGAGCCTTGGCATCATCGGCTCCCATCCTCAATTTTGAGAATATTACATCTCCGTACAGCTTCAGCAACATCGTCACTCAAGACTTTAGGGTCCTCTCTCTCTCTCTCTCTCAACATAAACATATACATGGGTAAATTCAGAAAAGTAGTCGAGTTTAGAGACATGTTAAAACTTTTAGTCCATTTTTTCAAGAGAGTTTTAACGAAAAACTTATAGTACTGTTCATTTTAACGAAAAACCACATTTTTACACTAAAAAGTCAAACCTGATACTATTTATTTTACCCTTTATTTTGTCCTTATCATTAAAACTCAAAGTTTTCAAACATTTTTTATTAATTTTTTTTTTCAACGTTTAATATGTTACTTTGAGGGGTTTGAGCATTGTTCAAGGGATCTCAAGGGAGTTTGAGCATTGCTTGAGAGGTCCGGAGAGGGCTCGAAAGGCTATATTTCTTAATTATCCTAAATTGATACTCTAAAAGTTTAGTTTTCGAAATCTGTCATGTGTTAGTTCGTAAGTCAGAATTATTAACGTGGTCTAGTAAGAGAATATTTTTTAATTTAGGAGATTTCGTACTAATCAAGCATTCAAGCTACAATGTGTGTTCCAACAAAAATGGAAAACAAAAAGATACAATTAATGTATGTGTTTAGAGAAACGGATCAGGATTTTCTCCCTTTCTCATTCCATCCCCTCCTCTCACATTCTCTATTTTGTATTTCCCTTTCTATAAAAAAATTAATATAAGATGTTGACGTGGTTTAGCCGTGACCGTTCAAATAGGAAGGGAGGAAAGGAAGGGGGAAAAAAGAGATGAGATAATCCTACTATAAGAGAAAGAGATGTTAATTAGCATATTCCAGATTTGTAATTACAGCCTGCAAAGCTCATGCATCATAATTTACTTTAAGAAACTTTCCTGAATAATTATTTTATTGTTCGAATTGCGTATTAATAATTTTAGAGTGAGAGTGAAAATTGCTACAAAGTGATCAAGGGCTCATGGGAACAGATCGAAAGCACAGCAGATGAACCTGGAGGGCTCGAACTGCTCCGAAATTCATTTAAAATATGCAAGTATGACCCATAATATTAAATTAACAAAGGTATAAATAAATATTTATGAAAAAAAACCCTACATATTCATTAAAATTTTCTTTTCTTTTATATTTCAGGAATTATATTAGTGCAGATGATCTTGAAGGTTGGCTTCAGTACCGCCTTCACTTACACAGCAATGACTGATTATCCTACTCCCTCCAATTTCCTAAGTCCCATGCCAGCATTTCCAGTCAAACAGGTAAAACAAATACTCACAAAATATATTTCTTTTTGTATTGTGAAATGACTTTTCACGCAAACATTTTTCTCTATCTGCATATTCTGATTTATTTATGTCCTGTTATTTGCATTGATTTTTAATTTAAAAGTGCTACTAAGTCCATCTTATTGTCGTATCGTTTCCCCACCTAACCAATATTTCCACTCCTAGCTATATGTAAAAAGAGAACAAATAAACCAGGTACAATTAACCTTTTGCTCTACGAAGATAAACTTTAGTAAGCTTTTTATGTTTTATTGAACTCTAATCTCTTTGTCTTTTTCGTCAATTTTGTCGACCAAATCAGAAAACCCATCTGAAGAGTGCATAAGTTGGTATTCCGTCTAATGCCGACAAACCAAAGAGTTTTAATTTGTTCTACTTTTCTCACTATTTGCATCTTGTCAGCAATAATTTCTTAAATTCAAAAATTGCATAATATCTTGCTCAATCGAAGTTCAGTTCACTATTCGATGTGATATGAGTTGCAAGCACCAAAAAAAGAAGCAACTAAAATATTGGATCTTTCGCTTGGTTTTGAGTTGGACTGTGAGAACAGTGATGTGCCAAAAAGATACAGGAAGAGGTGTGGCCACCTACATCACTTCTGTTCCCAAACAAAAAAACTTTTTTAATCTTTTGCTTATATGTCATTCGATGTAATTTTGTACAAGAATAAACTTGCCATTAAATTTTTTATTTAAAAATGAGTAGAATAATAAGACAATATGGAAGTACAGTAGCACTTTAAAATCTAAATGTTAGAAATTAAATTCGCATAAAAATGAGTGTTCGGAAATGACTTTTGCATTGAAGAAGGGTATATTTGTAGTTTTGATTTAACCTAGTGGTGCAGATGTGTGCGGCGATAGATGATCCAACGACTGGAAACGATACATTTAAGAAGTTGTACGGTGCAGCTTCTGTATACTACAATTATAGTGGGAAGGCCACGTGTTTCGATCTTGATGATGACTCTGATCCTCACGACCTTGGAGGATGGTCTTGGCAGGTAGGGGAACATTCCTCCTTTTTCTCTAAATTCCAAAATAAAAATTAGAGCTTAATTACAAAGAAAAAGAATACAAGTGAATGAATAATTCAAATGCCATGTATATCTTTTCCTAAATTGGGTGGCTTAAAATATCTTTTTGTAAAATAAAATAAAATGAAATGAAATTACGTATATCATCGTAAATTAATCATAAAATAATAAACAAAACAAAAAAAACAAAATCATGTATATGATCTTAAACTAATCATACATCTTATAAAAAAAACAAAAAAAAAACTAATCATACTAATTAATGTAAATGTTATTCAGAACAGTAAAACTATTTATGAAATATAAAATCTATATTTACCACACAACCACACTATGATTGTGAATTCAAATTCTCACTAGATCTCGCAATCATGGGACGACGGATCAAGTAATCTAAATTATTCAAGAGACGGAGCGAGGAATTCAGATTCTTAGTTTGTGAGAGGTGGGTAAGTAGAATGAACAAATAAGAGTTGTAAAATTTAAAATGAGTGATACAAAATTTCTTAAACCATCGACTTCAAGCTGTGAGATCGTATCCGGATTTCAATTCAATGAATGCGAGTGATTGATAGTCTAAAAGAATCATTTATGAACCCAATAAAAAAAGGGAAAACACTTTCGTGAGTTGGAATCAAAAGATCTTCACCCATTATGAGAGAACATGGTGGGGAGTATCCAAGGAAAACATGGTCTCATAATCAAAAATTGAACCATGATATCATTATTGATATAACTAATCATTATCCCTTTGGAGCCTAAGGAGTGAAAACCTTGTTTTACTTTTAACCTTTTTGGTTAATTTCACGAGTTTCCAACTAAAAAAATACAGTTTGAGTTTAACCCAAAGTTTACTCTTATCAACACCATCATGATCGTCGTTGTCAGCATTATAATGTGCAGAAATTTGATAAGATGACCACATTCATGTCACGCGTTGTTGAGAAATTTTTTGTATACACTTCAGAGATGTATCAAAGTGTTTTTATAGCACTTCTGATGTGACGTGTGCTAAAGTTGTTTATACAGATAGTCTTACGAAAACCCTAGATGCAAAAGCAAATCAAACAAGAAATTACAATTTTCTGAAAACATCCTTAAAACTTAAATTGTTTTTTAATCCTTCAAATATCGTCAAAATGCTAAAATCCACCTTATATCGCTGCAAAGCGACGAGTTCAATTCGTCTCGTCATTTTCTTCCTACAAAAATATCATAAGCCTGAATCGAACATCGAGAACCTAAAAATCACTATTCAATGTAGGCAGATAGCCTAAATTTGCCTTTCGAATCAACTCTTCCAGCCCCTCGTCATTTAAGAACATGTGTATATATCTACAGTGACACCCAAGTCTTTCTCGTGTTACTGAGTTTAGCTAAAACAAATTTGGTGCAGGCTTGCACAGAAATGATAATGCCAATGGGCGGAAACACCGAGGAGAGCATATTCCCAGCTTCCGAATGGAAGTACAAATACAGAGCCGCTTCATGCATGAGGAATTTTGGCATTGAACCGAGGCCCCTTTGGATCACCACTGAGTTCGGCGGCCATGTGAGTATCCATATTTTCTATCATTTCCAAATAATTTTCTATAGTTTCTTCTTCTTTTTATTTAATTTTATTTTTGTGTTTTAATTTGTGGCAGGATATTAAGAGGGTTTTAAAAAGATATGGAAGCAATATTATCTTCTTTAATGGCTTAAGAGACCCTTGGAGTGGTGGAGGGTAATTAAATATCTTTTTGTTTCTCTATTTTCACTACGTTAAAGAGAAATTTAAGTAGAATCACTCTATTAAGATCATTCTCACGCAATTTTAAAATGCGTCGTACATACGAATGACGTGATCAGAGTATCTGTTAAAGTTTTAATGGATGGTTTTACATGTTTATTTATTTATTTATTTTTTTATTTTTTTTTCTTCAGGGTGCTGAAGAATATATCCAAGAGCATAGTAGCCATTGTTGCAAAAGAAGGTTGATATCTACAAATAGAAATATGAAATTATAAAAAAATTAAGGAGAATTAATGTATAGTGTTAACTTGTATATTTGTGGTATTGGTTGTTGGCAGGTGCTCACCATGTAGATTTGAGGTTCAAAAACAGTGAAGATCCAGAATGGCTTAAAGAAGTGAGGAAACAAGAGATCAACATCATTGGAAATTGGATCTCCCAATATTACCACGACCTTGCCCAACTATATTAATCATATCATACACATTCACACTCAATCAAACCTCATGATTTGCCTTCAAAAGGCGGAATAAATCTAAAAGGCCTTCTCATTTTCTTTAAACAATGACCTTTACTTTTTTATACCAGCGATATTGACGAGGGGCAATTTGAACACGGGATCTTCGGTGTAAGGGTAGACACTATTAACTACTTAATTTACAAGCTCATTGCGAATAATGAATATCGAAGAAGAGAAATTCTAACATAGAATCTTGGCTGCAAGAGTAAAGCACTTTTAACTACTTGACCTACATGCTCATTACAAATATTGAATATTTTGTCTGTAATTTGGGTATGTTGATACTAAATAGGGGCGTAACTTGAGTTAGATCCGAACCCAAGGAAAGTGAATATCCACTATTCCAAACAAATGAACCAAACCGTGCGAACAAACTTCACATTACAAAAACGAACTAAAGCCTAAAAGCAGGCCCAAAATAACATTCAAATTCAAGAATTACGAGAATTCGCAAGTGGTGAATCGTTCTAATGAGTATGGTCTTCCTTCAACTCACTGTTTGTTCAAACCCTCTCATTCTCCTAGTTTATTTTGGGGAGAAGAAGAATTGTGGAAACCCAAGAGACGGGATAACATGTTGGAGACTTGGACCTACTTTATAGGACAGGTCCAATAGGTAAGATAATGGCTTATCTTGCCCGAGCCTGTAGTCAATAGAGCCGGTGCCACAGACCACAAACTCATTCCAATAATGGAAGGTCCAAATCCTAAAACTTTGGGCTCAGCTTACACAAACTCATATCTAATAGCTTTGTATTTGAAATTAAATTTTTGGAGTTATACACTGGATTTTATTTTCAAATAATAGACTTACAAAGTTTACATTTAAATACATTTTTTTAAACAAACGATATTATCTACACTAAAAGGAGAAGGAGGTAGGCTAAGCCTTACAATGAGCTAGCAATAATGCGGTTCAAATTCGCTTTTGGCGAGAATCGAACCTAAGACTTCTCACTTACAAGGGAAGAGGAATACCACTAGACCGTAGTACTAAGTGGCCACACTTAAACACACTTACAAGCCAAAAAAATAAAAAAAATTTATATTTCTAAACAGTAATCACTATTTCCTAAGCCAAACGGATGGAGTTACACAAAAATATCACCCTTTAGAACACAATTTACATGCTCTTGCCCTTACTCTCCTAAAATCGGTGAACTTAGAGAGGGGCCAATGGCATGCATGTCCGATATAAAAAACGTGTACATACTAATTGTGGATAATGTGTTGAGATATAGATAGACACGCCTTTAAAAGTTAGGCAGGGATCAAAGGAAAAGGTCATTTGAGTGTTCAAACTTCAAACTTCTGAAGATCGTCTATCTATCTTGAAAGTGAAATCTTTCTCCCATGATGTGAAAGTCATTGATATATAAGTCATAACCATCCACGACCTTACATCATTATATGCTAAGTATTATTAACTTAAAAAAATGATTGCATATATGTGTTATATGGGTTGTTCTATGCCGGCACAACACATCAACAATCACAATCAACTTATATGCGTAATTGGTCTCATCTTTACAATCATAAGTTTTTAAATAAATGCGCTAATATTAGAAATACATCAATAAAATTAAACAAAAAATGCAAATGCTTTTTTGAAAAGCATTTGATAAGTTCACTTTTAATTTTTTATGTCAAACGTAAATCTCATTATACTTTAGTCATAGAGAGAAACTTTATGAGACTCACTTAATCGCGTGTCATTTTATTATTGATTGATGATAATTCATCACAATCACGAGTGTGACATTTTCTATTATGTTTAAGACTTTGAAGAACATGGGATCTGTTGTTTTCATTTGGCATGCGCGAAGACAAATTCGATCATTGATTTGGTGAGTGATGCCGTTGTACATCTCAATGTCGATCTCATTCCTTTATTGTGGTGGCCATTTACACAAATGTATTAAGGCCAAATAGATAGAATTGTTATGGTGATCATCAAATCTTGCCTAACCAGCTGCTATCAATATCAAGATTTAGTAATCTTTGTAAGGTTTAAAGATTCATAGTGTTTTTTGTATTCTTTCAGCTTAAAACACCTAGTAAATCATCTTTCAATAGGGATCTAATACAAAGGGCAGGAAAATAAAAAACAGTTAAACCCAACTCCTAGATTAGCAAGGTGGTGTTGAGCAAAAAATAATCCCAAAAATTCAGAAGACGACATGTGGATTTTTTTTTCTCAAGATAGACAAGACCGCCCTCATTAAGTTGGCAATGCTCTCAAATACTTTCATGCACAGTTCAGTATCCTTGAAGGCCTAAGCAGCTGATGATGACTACTCAAAGCTCCCCACTCATGGCATGGAAAAGTCAAAGACATTAAAGATAGGATTAATTACTAAATTCTATCTTTAATACTCTCAATTGAAGATCAGCTCCATATGTGTAAGGCAAAGCCCTAAAAATATGGCCGGGGACTCCTTCCTATAATTACCTCCATCTCCACCAAATTTTAGTAAGTTTTTTGTTACGCATACAATCCCTAAACACTCACTCTTTTTTAGAGAAACTAACTTAGGCATCGGATTCATGACCAAACACCTCCACCTCGTGGGCGCGTGAGGCGTTGGTCTTTGATCAAAGGTGGTGATTGTTTTGTAGATACAAATTTGTTAAGATTGAAGACGGCGAATTTTTGTTACCACATTCCGCCTACATATCAGACACCTCTAGTTATTCCTTAACTAGGAGTGTACTAATTTCTTGCTCAGCATTAGAGAGGGCATTCCTGTCTTCTTGAGTTCTTGACTTATACATGTCATTATCTTATTAACAGTAAAAACACACGTGTAATCTATATATAGATAGGTTCCAACTTTATAGCATAACAATTATCAAAACAGTTGATACCTAATTCGTGCATCGGCTACTTGTGGTTGTGTAACGCCTGCTGCTGCTGCTGCTGCTGGTGCACCATTGCAAAGATTTTGCAAATACCATATCCTCTATGAAAGGCAAGTTGACAGAGTCCCTTTCACAACCCATGTCCCATCTTCCTCAAATTCCTTGGCAAGTTCAGGGTCATGGCCCCTAGTTGTAGGGTTCTTTTCTTACAACTTCCCTCTGCAAGAACCTACGGTTGATGGTCCCGCCCCCATATCTGAAAAACCACGCCACCACCGTCCACCACCACCATCACTCCACACTACAGTTAATTTTACAGTGCTACAGTATCACATGCCACGTGTCAGAAACCCGATTGCGTCACCCATATGCTTCTGATGTTCCAATGTTCACTCCTGTTTTTCCTCTATTTGCCCGAATTCACCAAGGTAAAAGGGGGAAAGGTAAAAACATATGCAGATATGCAGAGAGAGTATGCACACCCGATTGGCCTTATGGGCCCCACTGTTAGGGCCCACTTTAGGAAAGAAAACGTTTGATCTCGTGGGCCCTGGTCCTCGCATGCCGTTTCTGATATCAACCTCCCGTTTAAGGGCAGGCCAGAACCCCAGAGTTTGGAGACGTGGCCTTATTCCACATAGTTTTTTATTTTTATTTATTTATTTTTTAACAAACGATATTATTTATAATAAAGTGAATATAAATATCACTAAGCCTCACAATGAGTTAGCAATAATATGGATCAAATTATCTTTTGGCGATAATCGAATCTCAAACCTCTTATTTACAAGTGAAAAAAAATTCTATTAGACCATACTACTAAATGGCTGTGATTGAATTGGTGACACATTAATTTTTCTCCTGCTAATGACATATGCCTTGGGAAATTGCGACTTTTTATATAGCTTATAAGACCAGCTTCTTAGCAGAGTTATCGTTAACTATAATAAAGGGAAAATTTTATTTGGACCCAATTATTTTATCTTTACATCCAACTAAAAAGTTTTATCCACTAAACTTCCAAGTTTAACTTTAAATAAATAAATAAGAAAATAACAATCGATGTTTCTATCTCTAAACCTAATGACCCAAAACCTAGCACACTACTCCACCACTCCATTATTTCTGGCGAAACAAACTACTATCCCATTGGCATTCTCCTCGGACCTGGGAACCACTTCTTGCAATGTCTCATTCAAAACAATAGTCAAGAGGCACCCAACAAACAGACCAAATGGTATCACCAATTCATAGTTTCTGGAAATGGAAAATATGATGTCTGATAAGAAGTTGAAGGTGCCCAAAGTAACATATGACCATATAATGTTTTTTTTTCTTTTTCCAAGCAATAATAGCTGTTCCAGTGCTGTATCTGCTACTTTTCTTCACGAGAGCTCTTTCACTGGAGGTACGGCTTCCCACAACTTCCCCTTTACAAAAGTGCTTTTGATTTGCAGCTTCTGCTTATTTTCTTTGTTGGGCTCTCCAAATTGTGCCGTGGATGAAATTGCTTTTACACGACTTGGATTTGGGATATATAACTGGATACAATATTAATAATTTACTCCTAAAATTTCAATAAATAATCCCAATTGAAAATTTTGAAGCCCATGGTCGGTGATGATCTTGTTTTCACTTGGGTGATGATCTTGCTTTCACTTGGGTGGGTTTTACCGGAAATAATGGAAGAGTGCAGTGGTGTCCTAGGTTTTGAGTTATTGGGTGTAGAGATAAAAACACCTATGTTTATTATCTTATTCTTATTTATTTAAGGGCAAACTTGAAAGTTTAGTAGAGAAAATGTTTTAGTTGGATTTAGAAATAAGACAACTGGATCCAAATAAATTTTTATAATAAAGTTGAGTTAAGTACTAACCTAGAAATCGTGAACTCACCATTTATATTTTCTTGAGTTTTCACTCTCTAATATAGGATCCTATACGGTAAAGTCCCTACAAAATCTGTCATCCCGTTTTTGTTATACTACACTTAATTCCTGCAAATATATATATTCATTAAAAAACAACTCATTCATTTAGTTTTGTTGGCTTTGATCTGGTTGGCTGCTTGGAAGTTGGCTAATATATAATAGGTTTTTTTAGTCAAAATGGTCCATGAGATTGTCCTCCGTTAAAAACTCTGCTAAGTGTCCTGGAGCTCTTGGTTGAAAGTTTGGGCTCAGAGCTTTGAAACTCAATCGTTTCT